CTCTCCCTTAGAGTGGATGGTTCTTTTCAGATAGTGGAGAAGATCAATTATAATTAGACCTGGTAATTTTTTACCCAACCCATTAACCCACCCATTATCCGCCCGTTTAAAACAGCTTAGGGTCCTATATTTATGACCCGTGACCCGTTAATGACTAGTTAAGAGAATCCAACAGGTCACGGGTCAATAACGAGTTGACCCATCGAGTGAACGGGTTTGACCCGTTTACCCGTTTAAAAATATAAAATTTTTTAATTTATTATTTATTTATTTTGTTTTCCAATTCCCAATCCCACCTAAACCTCTAATAATTGACTAATATTCTCTAATTAACTAATTGATTCTCTTGACTCATCATCTTCTAGAAGTAAAAATAATCCCACTCCACTCATAACTCACCTTTCGACCTTTCCTATTCTTGCTTGCCCTAATACTCTCGAAGACTCTAACTTTTCAAACTTCAAACTCTTATCATATTCTTCAACCTCCATAGTTCATACAGCCTTTGACTTTCAAGCTTCGACTCCACCTTTTCTCTTTAGTTTTTAACATTATGTCAGACTTAAATCTTAGTCTTATCGAGTCACCGTTGCGTCCACTTAGCCTTTTCTTTTTTTCTCCTATGAGTCCGACAAGTGCTCTTTTTGTCACCAACTTTTCTCTCTAAATACTTCAAGGTAAGTTGTTTACTTATTTATGCTTTTTAGTTTTCTTTCCATTCCAAGTAAAAATTTTACTTGATTTTCTCCTTTACTTAGATATATTCAATTGATTATTCTTTGAAAGCAATGACCAAAACAAATATGTTCCAATGGGGTTTGTGTTTTTTGGTTGTCATACTACTACTGCATATATATATATTTTTTTTTTTGCTATTGAGATTTATAAGTGTTGTGTTCTTGAATTTGATTAGCATTGTTTTTTGAAGGGAAATAAAGAAGGTGATTTTGATGAATTATAAATATGTATATATTAAATTAATAAAAAAAATTATTTTTATAAGATGTTGAATTTCTTTTTTAAATCTTTTGAATAATTTTTTTTGAATGATAATAGGTACAAATTATAGAGAAAAAAAATTTTAATTGGGTCAACCGGCGGGTTGACTCGTGATCCGTGATAGGCGGGTTAGGGTCTGCCTTCATTGACCCGTGATCCGTTTTAACCCAACCCGTTTTGACCCGTTACCCGTTCTAACCTGACTCTAACTCGACCCAACCCGCCCGTTTGCCAAGTCTAATTATAATGGCTACAAGATCAAACTTCCAAGTGACTATGGAGTCTCTACTACTTTCAATGTCATTGACCTATCTCCTTGCTATAAGGATCATGAGGATCGATCTCAATCTCAAGGATGAGTTTTCTCCAACCAGTGGAGAATGCACCAAGAGAAAGTACTGGGAAAATGCACCAGGATTACAGAACAAAGTCAACAAATTTCAAACTACATTGCAGACTACAAATAGGCTGGTGCAATTTTGTCAAAATGGCCACTCAAGTCTACAAAAATGGCTAACTCCCAACTGCTTTTTACTTTTCCTTTATTACCTTTTGTTAGATTTTGCCTATAAACAGCCATGTTCCCTCTGTTGTATGCATCAATTTTCAATTTCTAATTCTCTTCTATTTGAGTGAGTATTTTTGAGAGTGGATTCTCTCAGTTTATCTTTGTCTCTTATGTTTTGTCAACCTAAGTGATGTTCCAAGCCATCGAATTCATCATAGTGGGATTTTAAATCTCACCAAAATCGGCGTTTTGGTATTGGCTCCTACGCCATTTCATCTTAACAGCTCCAAATGCTCTATATGGGACGAGATATCCACTGGAATGCATAATTTGGGCTACAGCCGTAGTGCAAAGAAATGTAAAGAGAGATGGGAAAACATCAACAAGTATTTTAGAAAATCAATAGGAAGTGTTAGGAAGCGATTTGACAATGGTAAGAGACGCACATCTTTTCAGGAATTGAACGCGCTCTACAGTAATGATGAACATGCCAGTGCAGGAAATCCTATGAATTATGCAAACAATGAGAATGATAAGGTGGTGGATATTGGTTTTAAGGATTCAAATGATCCCTCTGACTTTAAAGCAGATGATGGTAGCTAATTTTTCAGGCCCCTATTATAACCTTGTATTTCATTCTTTAGTTGAAGATTTAATGATTAGCCTACCCAACTTGTGTCTCTGCGCCATTTTGCTTTTCTAAAACAGATTCATGG